CTAGGCCAATGCTAAATGCTTTACAGCCGCATCTATGGTTCATGATAGGGTTCCATGAAGCGCATATGCAACTAGCTTGCTTTAAGAATAAGGGGCTGTGAGTGGAAGTGATTTCTTTAGGCCGTCTTTGGGGGTGGCATAATGCGAGTGAAATTGGAGTCAGAGGATTGGGCTTTGAATCTTGTTTGCCATTTTCTACAGTGGAAAAAGCACTGATTTTGGAGTTGGAACATCTGGGTTCACATCCTGCCCATGAAACTAACCTGCCCATTTGACCTTGGATAAATGCCTTAAGATTGACTTGGGAAGGTTTAGGGAATGTCAGAGTCCAATACTCTGTCAGAGTCCAATATGTCCAAGGAAACATAGAACTTGCAACAAGACGGTAGAACAAGCCAGTGTGAATTTAGGAAAGCTATTCACAAAATGTAGAGCGGTCAGGGAAGAATGATAGAAACAAGTCTGCTAGGAATTGGTTATACTACTGGGGCCCTGTGGGGAACGCGGTGCTTCCCCTCCAAACCAGTCAAATCTGGTGGGTTTTAATAGGTTCCTATCTGAGTCCAGCAGGATGAGGCACTGGGACAAGGAAAAGAGGAGTCTGGACGAGGGGACTGGTGCTGATTCATGTTAGTGGGCAGAGGGAAGAATCCTGGGAAATTGGAGGCTAGGGGATATTCAGAGCTAGTGAGAAAAGGGACTTTAGGCCATCACTGCTGGTCTTATGCTGACTAGGTCATTCAGCTTCCTTGTCAGACCTGGTTCGTTTAGCAGGTTCTGGAGAGGCTGTTGTACTCCCTATGGCAAATCACAAACCCCCTGGACCAAAGTCTCCTCCTCTACATAAAATGAAGGGTTCAACTAGCTAGTCTTTGAAGTTCCTTCCTTCCCTATTCAAGTCAACAAACATTATTAAGGGCCTACTATGTGCCAGGTACCTCACTAAGCTCTAGATATCTAGGATAAGCCACTTTCCCTCTTGGAGCCTCAGTTTCCTCATTTTTTTTAAATTTTTACATTTTTTTTTTTGTTTTTGGTGAAGCAGTCAGGATTAAGTGACTTGCCTAGGGTCACACAGCTAGAAAGTGTCAAGTGACTGAGGCCAGATTTGAACTCATGTCCTCCCGACTCCAAGGCCAGAGCTCTATCCACTGTACCACCTAGCTGCTCCCCTCATTTTTGAGATGAGAGAGTTGAACTTCATGACTTCTAAAATTCCTTTTCCCTTTAAATCTCTGATCCTTTGATCTCTCCCCCCTCAGTGATCTGGTGCTGCTGCTGCTGCTCATTTTTTGTTTATCCCTAGATTCAAATTCACATATGACTCTGATTTGATTTGGAGCAGTGAACCACAGTGGAGTCAGATGGAGAATTTAGTTTTCAGTAAACATGTAAATTAGTTAGTTGCCCTCCCCTCCATGTACACAGATGTTGAAAGTGATCCAAGGGCAATGGAGAAATGCATTGAGAAGACACACACACTATTACCAGTGATTGTTTTTACTTAGAAGTGGCTTAGAAAAGACATCATCTAGGACACAGCATACAACAGAGGTGTAAGGCATGCTGCCCTCAAGCGTGGCCCTGATGAGATTAATATGTAATTGGGAAATATTTAATAAAATAAATAAAAATACAACAGGATATAGAGGATGGTTTTTTTTTTGCCTCTTTTTTAAGTGAGGCAATCGGGTTTAAGTGACTTGCCCAGGGTCATACAACTAGTAAGTATAAAGTGTCTGAGGCCAGATGTGAACTCAGGTTCTCCTGATTCCAAGGCTAGAGCTCTATTCACTGTGCCACCTAGCTGCCCCTAGAGGATGTTACTATACGGCTTTCCATCCTGTGCCATAAAGTGGCTCCCATTTCTATTTGAGTCTGACATCACTCCTCTACAGGACCTGAAAAAGAGGTGGGCTGGTCATGTAAGGAGAACCAGGGCTGGCAGACAGACAACTGGCCTGCTATTGTTGATATCTATGCTACATTAAAAAAGCTAGAAGAAGACTTCTGGCATGTTGTGCAGTCCTTCAGTGGAAGTTATATGGAAAGATATGGATAAGATTCAGATCCTCACAGACATCTTTAACTCATCATGACCAAAACTGCACACATCTTTCCCCCCAAGCCCTCTCCCCTTCCTAACTTTCCTATGACTGTTGAGAATACCACCATCTTCCTGGTTAGCCAGGCTCACAATCTAGATATCACCTTTGGCTCCCCACTCTTTCTCACCTCCTATGTACAATTGGTTGCCAAGATCTGCTTATTTTACCCTCCTAACAGCTCTTGTAGATGACCCTTTCCTCTGACACTGCCCCCATCCTTGTTCAGGCTCTTATCACTTCATACTTTGATTATTGCAATAGCCTGCTGTTGTGTCTGCCAGCCTCAAATCTCTCCCCAATCCAGTCCATCCTCCACTCAGCTGTCAGAGTGATCTTCCTAAAGCATAGGTCTGACCATGTCACCCAACACACACACACACACACACACACACACACACACACACACACTCACTCGATAAACGCCAGCGGCTCCCTATCACTTTTAGTATCAAATGTTAAATACTTTGGCATTCAGAGCCCTTCATAACCTGGAACCTTTATTCTCCCCCTCTTCCAGTTTTCTTATATCTTACTCATTCCCACTGTGATCCAGTAACACCGAATGCCACACTGTTTCTTGTACATGACCCTCTTTGTCTCAGCTCTGGGCATTTTCACCAGCCTGGAATTCTTTCCCTCCTCATCCCTGCCTCCTGGCTTCTTTCAAATCCTAGCTAAAATTCGACTTTCTATAGCAGACCTCAGACCTCAGACCTCTCATAGCTCTATCTGTCCTTCTAAGATAATTTTTTTTTCAGATTTTACCCATTACACATCCTAGACACTTCTTTGTTTTCTGCCTAGGGGAAGAGTATCTGTACTCAGGTTGTATTTAATGGGATAGGATCTTATAAGTTGATGAATGAGTTAATGGATTAGAGAGTATTCCAATGACTCCCAGGGGCCTTTATATCATTTCTTATGACTAATGCTAATCACCCAAAGGAACAAATTTAAAATGGTGGCATTTCACATATAAGTGACAGGTCAGTGGAGATGATAGGGTACAGGATTTCTGGTACTCCTCACTTTGAACTTTGTACATGACAAGTTTGCCTCTTTGTGCAGTTAGCCCTGCCCACAACCAGGGTGTTAGAAAACTCCTACTGTATCTAGAAGATCACACTGAATGATTGTAATCATTTGGACTTTCCTTAAGCCTCTGACGAGAGTTCACTCCTTTCTATTGAAGATTGTCATGATACGTGGGGTATGTTGGGGCAGCTGGATGGTGAAGTGGATAGAGTGCCAGCCATGAAGTCAGGAAGACTCTCCTTCCTGCGTTCAAATCTAGCTTCAGATACTTACTAGCTGTGTGACCCCGGGCAAGTCCCTCAATCCTGTTTGCCTCAGTTTTCTCATCTGTAAAATGAGCTAGAGAAGGAAATGGCAAACTACTCCAGTATCTTTGCCAAGAAAACCCCAAATGGGGTCACGAAGAGTCAGACACAACTGGAAGGACTGAACAACAACAGAAAGGGCCTAAAAGGTCATCTTATAGGGCACATGGATGAGCAAATCAAGGTTAAGTAACTTGCTCAAATTCACACTAATTAGTAGCAGGGCCAGGACTAGTACCCAGATCTCCAGACAACAAATATAGTTCTCTAGCTTTGATGAAGCAGAGAACATTACTTGTTCTGTGAAACTGAGCAAAAGTCATTAAATTTCTCAGAACCTTGGTTTTCCTCCCCTATGGATTAATACCTATAGTACCTATTTCACATGATTGTGTTGATCAAATGATTTCATGTGCTAGAATAGGTTGGGGAAATTGAAAGCATTTTATAAATGTCAGTTACTTTTGCTAAGACAGGTGAAAAACAAATCATCAAGTAGTTTACAGAATTGATTTCAGTTTATCAAAAAACATTTATTATGTGGCCAATATATGCCAGACACTATGCTATGTACTATATAAACACAGAAGCAAAACAGTGTCTGTCCTCAAGAAGCTTACTTTTTATTAGCTGTCACTCAATATTATTCTGGCACTAATGAGAAAAATAATTTTCTTATTAATGGAATTTTCTTGTTGGGAAGAATTTTCATTGTGAGATGTACAGTGAGATTCTGTTTCCCCAGAGTAGATCATATTATCTTTTGGGGGATGGGGATGGGGTAGAAAGTGAATGTTGGACTGTAGGCTTTGCCTGAGAATGGAGCCCACCCTGTCCTGCAGAATGCTTTTGTGAACTCTGCATGTTCTTTATCAGTGTTTTTGTAGTGGTGTTTCATGTCTAGTGACTGTAGGCTTGAGGAAAATGTCACATTTAATTGGAACAGGAAATGCACCCCAGTTTGTGTGTGAAGCAGATAAACCAGAACTGAAAGGCCAGGGTTTGGCAGAGGGCCATGACCCTGGCTACACATAGCAACATGAAACTCCAAAGACTTTTGTGCACAGTGTGAATGCAAGGCTGAGTGCCTGACTCCATCCCGTGCTGGGATGTTCTCATACTAGCACATGGTCTGTTGAAATTATGGCTCCTTTCTATTTCCTTTCCTTGTTCTGAGAGGCAATTACTATTTCCCTTAAAAAATGCTACCCCCTTCCTCCTGTGCTCTGGGACTTGCTTGGGTCATTCAGAAGAGGATTTGATTTTTGTTTTGCTCTTTTGGCTGCATGGTAGGAAAGCCTCTGCCTCAGCTTCCTGTGGTTTAGGTATTGTAATTTGGGCCCCCGTGGGCCATTTTAGTGGGTGGCTGACCTTGTGATGATTTTGCATAGTAAGTCTGGAATTTTATGAATCAAAAAATAACAGAGTCAAACAAGCTTCTACTACAACTCAAATTGTTTTGGAGGAATGATTCAAAGACTGCTATTGTGAGTCATGGCAGGAAGGATGGCGGAATTTATTGGCATTAACATCTGATTTTCCTTGTTTCCAGGTCCCCTGCCTGTGTGTTGCAGTCCAAGTAGCCCGGCCCAGCTACTAGAAGACACTAGTTATCTTTTCCCAGACCTTCAGTTCTTCTCTGGGAGGCATGAAGCTTCTCCGTTGACAGTAGAGGCAGGCAGTAGCACTAGAGAAAAAGCTGGTAAGCCCCTTTTCCTTGGTGCTGGTGTTGGAAAAGCTAAGCCTTGTTCTCTTTCCCATTTTTGACTTTTCGCATGAGGTGATTTCTTCAGGTGCTCCCTTTTTCCTTTCCCCCATTTATACATTTAGAATCCTTATTTTCCTTTTCCTTAAAAAATACCTCATTTTGGTTCATATGCTATAGTAGGCAGATCTATTTTACTGTAATTTCCTGTTTTCCATTTAGGAAAGTAGGAACTTTAGTCTTTCTACTTTCTCAAGTCTTCCCTTTTTTCCCCCTCTCCTTTTTCTCCTTTCCCCTCCATTCTCCCATTTCTCTTTTTGTTTTCTTTCAATTACCAGTAGGCTTATTGGTGATTGATTTTTAACAGAAGTTCTCTAAGTATCTGAAGTTCAAAACTTTAGTTTGGTAAGAAAACAGCCTCCTTTGTCCTAAACATTGTCTGTCCCAGTGTGCCTGCTATTTCTGTAATCTCGTGTAATTCATTTGGGCATGTTTAAAGTCAACTCAGGGAAGTAGGTCTTTTGCCTTGGGCTTAATCAGTTAATCAGTATGCATGTATTAAGCACCTACTATGTTCCTTAACTATTCCAAAATCTCCATTCTATCAGACCTCAAAGAATTCCATTGGCTTCTTTTTCTGTAGAGCCATTTAGCACAGTTCCTTGGAAAAAGTTCTAGATACCGAGTCAAAAGACCTGGGTTCGAATCCCAGCTCTACCAACTTGCTTTTCGTGTGACCTTGGGCGAGTCACTTCTCCCTTGTGTCTCAGTTTCCTTGTCTGTGAAATTAGGAATATGGAGTAGATGAGTTCTAATTCCCCTTTCTAGATCTGTGTCAATGAGTCCTTTACTGGAAATCTGAACAAATCAGTTCCTTTAGCATATTTTTTTTTTTCTTAATGGAAGTTGCCTCCTGATGAAGCATTCTCACAAGTGATCTTGTGATATCTATTTTATTGTATCTTCTTTTGTTCTTTAATTTTTTCGTTGCTGTTTAAGATTTCTGATTCCTGCTTCATTCCCAGCTATCAGTGGCTTCCCTTCACCAAATTACCCTGTATTTCTTTTTTGGGTACATACTTGCATGTTTCCATGCCATCTACCCTAGGCCGGTATTCTTAACCTTTTTTTTTGTGTCTTGAACTCCTTTGCCAGACTGGTGAAACCTATGGATCCCTTCTCATAAATACATAAAAAAAGATATAGAGGATTGAAAAGGAATCCAATTACATTGAAATAGCATTATAAATTTAAAAAATAAGCTTATGGATTTCAGAGTAAGAATCTCTGCCTTACAGAACATAAGCTTCTGGAAGGCAGGGACTTGTGTAATTTCTGTCTTTGTATCCCCAGCACCAGGTTTATGTCTGGTACTTAACAAATGCTCATTAATGGATTTTCTCTCCAGTCTTATTCGTATTTTAAACTTCTTGAGGACAAGAATCACCTTTCTATTCCTCTAAGGTTCCTAGTGAAATACCTCAGACCCACTAGTTACTCAGTAAATATTTGATTAACTCCATAGTTTTCCCCTGCAGAATGTGTATTAGTCTTTCTATGAGTTGAAGTGTGAATGTGGATTGTTTAGAGGATAGTAAACAGATTAGAAAATTGCTGGTTTTTTCTTGAACACCTACACTGGTAATTAGTAGTGTCATTCTTATTATCATTGTAGCTATTACTACTGTCACTTCTTATCACTGTCACACTGTTGAGGGTGTCACTGTGTGATGCCCTCAATAGCTTACCTGATAATGCTATCATTTCCAGTAATTATAGGGCAGGCTTTTTGGTTCAAATTTTCTGTGCATAGAAAATTCATACCTGCATAGCTCTAAGCATGGCCTTATGGCCCCAGAGAATCAGGACTGGACAGTTACCCTCCCTTCAATGTCTGACAGTCTGTGACCCTTGCTTTCCTATAGGCAGAGTGAATAATTGAAAGTTCAAATGCAGAAATAATCTTCATTAAAAATTACATTTCATCATCAATCTAGCATTGCTAGGGAATAAAGTATATGGATTATTGAGTTTTCCTATCATGAGTGGCCATAGACTTTTTCTCTCTCAGTATTCCTTCTGTCTTTCCCCTTACTTTTTTTTTTTTTAGGCAGTTGGGGTTAAGTGACTTGCCCAGGGTCACACAGTTAATAAGTGTCAAGTGTTTGGTCTGAGGCTGGATTTGAACTCATATCCTCCTGACTTCAGAGCTGGTGCTCTATCTACTGTGCCACCTAGGTGCCCCTTCTTTCCCCTTACTTTCCAACCTCTATTTTTCAATGCCAGGGATTCTTACCCATTTTTTTATGTCATGGACCACTTTGAAGATCTAGTGAAGCCTATCGAGCCCTTCTCAGAATGATGTTTTTAAAGGCATAAAACAAAATAACTTATGATCTCAGGGGAAGCCAATTCTATTGAAATACAGGTGTCAAAAATATATTTTAAAAAGTTCCAAAATCCCATAGTTCCGGGCTCTGTACCAACATGGCTTTCTTACTTTTTTCTATAAGCAAGTCCTTCTCCTGATTGAATGTTTTCAAGAGCTCTCCTCAATGCCTACAATTCTCTCCTTTCTTGTCTTCACTCCCTGAATTTTCTGATTTCCTGCAAATCTTAGCTAAAATCCTATCTTCTGCAGGAAACCTTTCCTGGTCCCCCTTAAGGCTTGCACTTTCCCTCTGAGATTATATCCAATTTATCTGTATATATGTTGTTTGAACATAATTTTTTGCATGTTTAGGGATCTTTTGCCATCCTTTTTTTGTAACCCTAATCCTTACCATAGTACCTGGCATACAACAGGTGCTCAATAAATGCTTGTTGACTTGATTTGACTTGACTATACTGTTACTGGATATTTCCAGCTAGTATCCTCGGTCCACTGAAAATGGGGACAAACTTGAAAGTTACCCATTGGAACCCAAGAACCTAGCTTATGAAGGCAATAATTTTAATTTTATATGTTTGGACATGAGTCACCAATTCTGCTATGTGTTTGTAGCGGTTTTTTTCATTCCTCAAAAACCTTTTTTGGGTTACTTCAAGGTTTGCAGTGGTGTTCCAGGTAACTGAGGGTCATTGACAGTATAGCTAAAATGTTACCCTCTAGGCAAAAAATACACACTGATATCCACCCTTTTCTATAAATGCCTGACCTTTTCTCCTCATTTTTTCCAGTTGAGGACGCCTTTTGTAACTTCTACTCCCCAACTTTCCTGAGGATCTCAGAGGTGGAGATGAGAGGTTCAGAGGATGGGGCAGCTGGCACAGTGTTACAGCGGTTGATCCAGGAACAGCTCAGGTATGGCACCCCAACTGAGAACATGAATCTGCTGGCCATTCAGCACCAGGCCACCGGGAGCGCGGGACCGTCCAACAGTACGACAAGCACCCTTTCTTCCACGGAAAACCTCGCTCAAGAAGACCCACAAATGGTCCACCAGTCAGCACGGCAGGAACCTCAGGGCCAAGAACATCAGGTGGACAATACGGTGATGGAGAAACAGGTCCGGTCCACTCAGCCTCAGCAGAACAATGAGGAGCTGCCGACTTATGAGGAGGCCAAGGCCCAGTCACAGTTCTTCAGGGGGCAGCAGCAGCAACAGCAGCAGGGGGCTGTCGCTCATGGCTACTATGTGCCCACTACAACTAGTCAGAAGTCCCGGACTGAAGGGAGGCCCACAGTGAATCGGGCCAATAGTGGCCAGGCTCATAAGGATGATGCCCTCAAGGAACTCAAGCAGGGCCATGTCCGATCTCTCAGTGAGAGAATCATGCAGCTGTCACTGGAGAGGAACGGGGCTAAGCAACATCTCCCTAGCTCAGGGAATGGTAAAGGGTTTAAGGCCGGCGGGGGACCTCCCCCAGCCCAGCCTGCAGGCAAAGTGATGGACCCACGAGGCCCTCCACCTGAATATCCCTTCAAGGCTAAGCCGATGATGTCCCCAATCAGCAAGACCCAGGAACATGGGCTCTTTTACAATGACCAACACCCTGGGATGATCCATGAGATGGTCAAACCCTACCCGCCTCCTCAGCCAGCAAGAACAGAAGTTGCTGTCGTGAGGTATCAGCCACCCCCAGAGTATGGGGTAACAAGGTGATTATGGGGTATCTGGGTTACTATTGTCAATTTCCATTTCCATTATTTTCAGTAAATGTTTTTAGTTTACAGGATGTTAGAGGCCAACTTCCCTATTTTTTTTTTTAACAAATGAGCAACCTGAGAAAGAGTAGGTGACTTTATACAGGGGAGTTAAGTAGCAGAGGCAGAATTCAAATCCAGGTCCTCTGAACTCTAAATCCAACATGCTTTTCATTGTAGCATTCAGTGGATATCTATCTTGTAGGATAGTGTGTGATTTGCTCAGTGGGTATGGTGGTAACCTCTGGTAGTATCCTGCTACCTCTGGGAACTCTGAATGGTTGTCTGACAAGGCAAGACTTTTCCTCAATAGCTGAAATAGGCCAAACCTGCCGGAATGGATTGCTGAGGTAAGTTATGGTATCATGGGCCCATAGGGTCATTAAAAAACTTGGAAGGGACCTCAAGTATCATCTAGCCTAATTTCCTCATTTTACCATGAGGAAACTGAGTCCCAGGAAGTTTGAAGGACTTACATATAGTAAGACTTTTAAAGGATTTACTATATAGGATTGTAAATAAACTTCAGAAGTAAGATTTGAACCTGTATCCTCTGACTGCAGAACCAATGTAGTTCCACTGTTCTTCTGTTAATTTTAAATGAAAGGATAGATCCTCTCCTCCTGGAGAGGATCACAGGATACAAGAACATTAGTGCTAAAAGACACCTTATACATCATTCAGTTCTATTCCCTCATTTTAATGAGGCCGTGGATACTCAGAGAAACTAAATGACTTCTCCAAGACTACTCAGCTAAATAGTGAGGGAAAGGCTCGTGGTATAGGATAGGATACATGACTTGGAATCAAGAAGACCTAAGTCCGCACTCTGCCTTAGACACTTACTAGCTGTGAGACCTTGGGCATGCCAACCTCTGTTTGCCTCAGTTTCCTCAGTGCTGGACTCCATGGATCCTTCCTGCTTTTAATCTATGATCCTAGTAACAGGTCCAAACTGATCTGCAGGGCTCTTGACTCCCAGGAGAATATTCCTTCTACTGCAGACTTTACACTCTATTTTTCTCTCTTTGCTAGTGTCTTCCCCACTTCCCCCACTTACCTTGTGTATATTTTTACACATTTATTTATAGACATGTTTTCTCCCCCGCTAGAATGTCAGCTTCTTGAGGGCAGGCACTGTTTCATTTCTGTCTTTGTATCCCCAGGACTTAGCATGGTTCCTGACACATAGTAGGCATTTAATCAGTACTTGCTGATTGGTTGGCTGTAGAAGAGTATAGAAATAATTTGATACATCTTTGATATTTTATAGATTTAGGAAAGGCTAAGAAAGTTAAGTGATTGATCCAAGGTCATGCAGCTAATGGCAAAGTCAAGGCTCCTTGGCTCCTTGCCTTGACCCTTATCCCATTTCCCTGCAGACCCTTTCTAGGCCTCACAGCCTAGTCTGTAGGGGCTTCTGGGTGACTTCCTAAATTTCTCTGCTGTCCCAGCCCCAAGAGAGATTCCCAGATCTTCCCTTAGGAAGCCTCCTGGGATTTGAAGAGATATACATTATACTTCTCATTACTGAGTTCTCATCTTGCTGGGACACAAGAGGAGATAGGTTCTATGAAAATAATATTGTCATAAACCAAATTGCCTCAGACTAACTAATAAGGTCAAATGCTATCTGAGTTATATGTTAATGGGCTTTCAAAGAGGACCAAAGGATCAATTGGGAAATCATTTTGGACTGAAATGTAGTTATGCTTAGATATAGGGTATTTGGGAAGGAGGGAATGACCACACATGAATGCATGCATGTGTGTGTGTCATGTGAGGAGAAGGACAAAAGTGTTGTTTTGGCCTACTTTGTTAAACAACATTGAGAAAACAACATTGTGCAAGTAGAAACTTGACCTAAACCTTGATAAATGAGGTGCTGGATTGAACAGCAGCATGGTGTATTGGATAGAGTGTTGGATTTGACCTCAGGTCTTCTTGAACTCGATCTTGCCCCTTAACACTTGCTAGCTATAGTACTGTGTACAAGTCACATGACCACTCTGAGTTTCAGGTTTTCCATGTACAAAATGGGTGTGATAATACTTAGATTACAGGACTATTGTAAAGTTTTATGTAAATGTTGGCTATTTCTTTCTTTATTATTTTATTTATTTTTCCTTTCAAACTGAGTTTTCGGAGAGTAAAATTGAGGCACTAAAAAAATCATTTTAGTCATAAATAATAACCAACATTTTATATGTGTATGTATATATATATATATATGTGTATGTATACATATATATGGGGAGAGAGAGAGAGAGAGAGAGAGAGAGAGAAAGAGAGAGAGTGAGAGAAAGAGAGAGACAGAGAGAGAGGGAGAATGCTTACTATGTGCCAGGCACCATTTTAAGAACCTTATAATCATTGTCTCATTTGATCTTCACAACAACCCTGGAAGCAGGGGCTATTGTTATCTCTATTTTACAATTGAGGAAACTGAGACATATAAAGGTTAAGTGATTTGCCCAGGGTCACACAACTAGTAAATGTCTGGGGCCAGATTTGAATTCAGATCTAATCCTGTCTCCAGGATTGGTGCTCTATTCACTGTACTACCTAGCTGTCCCTAGTATTCTGTCTACCTATTTGCCTTTCAAACTAAAAAAGCTTGATTCTACCCCCTGTGGTGATGAAACTGGGTTTATGAAACACAGGATTCTCTCCCCTTCTTCCATAGAAGAAATCTCTGTGTAGGCCTGTTGTCCATGCCTGTCATGGCCATGTAAACTGAAGTGGGTGTCACTGAAGTTATTGGGATGAATATGTTAAAACAGTGATTCTGTTCCATGGTGCAATGGAGAGAATACTGGATTTGAGTGGAGGGGGAGGATCAGAAGACCTGAGTTCATATTTCAGCTTTACCTGTATGACTTTGGGCAGGTCACTTCCCCTCAGTTGCCTCATCTGAAGAATGAGGAATTCAGACTAGATGATGTTATCTCTGAGGCACCTTCTAGTTCCAAAACCATGATCTGTTTTCATCATGGGGGCTATCAGAATGCTTTTCTACAGTGTTTCATAATATTGACTAGTAAGCAGCATGAGTAAACTACCTGCCACCAATAAGGGGGCTAATTCTCTCTGAAAATGGGAACATGCAAGTTTTGTTGGACAATACTAAAGGTGTCAAGAAGGAGGCCTTTCTTTCCTTCTGTTGTGTGACTTCCCTGAGATGAAAAGGAAAAATGAATTCAATGGCTAACCAGTTGGATAGCATTTTTTAAAGTCAGTATCTTCCTCACTCATATCCTTGGGTTTTCATTAAGTTGCTTAAGTTGTATTAAAAGAAACTGTGCAGTTCAGCTTAGCATAATGTCATGGTTGGTCAGGGATGCTTTGCATTTTCCTTAATTATTCACTTCAGTTCAGCCTCAAGTGCTTGACAGTGTGACTATAACGTGGTTGAATTAAATCTTTCACTTTGAAGATGATTGAAAAATGTTTCCTCTAACTCAACTCTGCTATTTTGAATTCAGTAAGGGTTGGAGATGAGAGGTACTGTAGTGTAGTAGGCAGAGGGCTGTCCTTGGAACAGATGACAGATGCCCAGAATCAAAGAAGACCTGAGCTCAAGACCTACCATGACAACTTCCAGCTGTGTGGCTATGGACAAGCCCTTTAAATTTTCTGCCCCAGAAAAACTTTTAAGATTGCATTACTGAAGGCTTGTTCATCTGAATCAGTAGATAAAGTAAGTTTACATCTTATGAGTTTCCTATACCATTGAAATAATAGACCTGAACCCAACCCTCCCCCGCAAAAAGGAAGGACTGTTGTAGAGAAGATGGTAAGCCAAAAGTTTTGCTTGTCATAATTCATTACTTTTCTAGTTAACTGGAGGAGGGGAGAAAGGGAGTAGAAAAGGGAATACCTATAGAGGAAAAACAAAGAGAGGGGAGAAACATTTCAAAGTCTATCAAGTGATTTGTTGGAAAGTGTAATTTGTGGGAAAGTTATGACTTTAAAAATTTAAATTAAATGTGTGAGGAGTTTGGATTAGTCTGTGACGTGATTACCAGGTTTGGCAGCTAGATTGACAAGACAGAGCCAAACACCTTTGATATTACAGACAGGCTATTGAGGTAAGGGGCTCCAGAGCTCAAAGACTTCTTTGTAAGCCTTCCTATGGCCAGCCAGAATGGCTCCAGTCAGGCAGCCCTTTGCCAACTGTATAAACAAAGTAGCATCCACACGGACCCTGGTTTTAGACTCAGTTAACTTAGCAGGAACTCAGTTGGATGGGTCCAAAACCATCTGTGTTTGATGGACTAGGGAGCTGCCTTTGATGGTAGACTCACGGATGTCTCCTTTGAATTCCACCAGTGTATCCTCTGGGCTTTGAGGTTTGGTTATGGAATAGTTTATCGTTAATAGTAATGGCTCAGTAACTCCCCATAGGCTGTTAAGTAAATAGATGTTAGACTGTGCCAGGGTCAGAAATGGAGGAGTGAAATTGTCCGGCACATCTCCCTGCTTCCTGTATGGATGTAGTTAATGTTTAAATAGTTTTGTCCAGCATCATTTTGTCATTTTAAACGAGTCAAGTAACTGAACTCTCACTGCTTCTTCCCTAGACAGTCCTTGTAGTCTTTAATTTAGTGAAAGGAGCTAGGACTGATGCATTCTGCTCCTAGCCACTGACAGGCTGTGGTTAATAAATCCACCTACCCACTCACCCACCCACTCCATTGGAAAATGGAGATGCTGTTGCAACTTCCTTAGATGTTTGGTTGAGGTCTTTTGAAAGGATCAGGCCATATTCGTTACAGTTTTTTTTTGTTGTTGTTGTTCAGTTGGGGAGGAAGAAAGGTGAGGGAGAGAGAAGAAATCCTTGCTAATTAAAAAAAAGAAAACATGTCGGTGGGCTTGTGTTACTGTTACTAATGAGGCCTACCTCGGTCGTCTTTAGCTGCCATGTCCTAGGCATTTGATTCTGACCGGTCATC